CTGGGTGGAAAAGAATGAAAGTCTGGGAGCATAGTGCTACCGTATGACGGTTATGCTCAGAATGCTCAACTTCCCTTCGAGGAAGAAAAGTTTAACGGCACAGTTCACGACGAAAATGGTTTCTGAGTCTTCCCCTAGGAATACCCAGTGGCCACCAAGGGTAACAGGATGGACGCTGTCGAGTCCCAAAACTCAACAGCTAGGGCATAGTGGAAGCCCCGTTAACATATCGCCCGAACTTCCCGCCCTTCGATCGATGCCACATCGAATGAGTGTCGAGGCGATACAGATTGCAATATTCGTTTCAGGACTCACGCACAACAGTTGACCGCCGGGTGATGAGGCGATGTTTTCACTCATTCTCCTTTTCTCTGGTGTTCTTTTTTTTTGCTGCTGCGATCCCAGCAGACGTCATCTGAATGGCAAGCTAGAAGAAGGTCTAACCATGACGAGTATAGCTCAGGAGCTCGGCATCATATAGCTCAGGAGCTCGGTATCACTCGCAGCTTCGTTTCGTGTGGAGCGTTCCAATTCTCTGGTACTGCAGTCCGAAGGAGAGCAGATGGTCGGCTTAGATCAGCCACACAGTAGGATGGTCTACAATACGCTACATTGTGCAGTAAGCCAGAAGAGGTGTCTGTGAAGCAGTCTCTGTAACTGCAATAAAGACAAACCATCTCACGCACTACAGTGGCAAGACTAATGCACCGTGGCAGTCTCTTCGAACGCATCCTCATATGGCAAGAAGGGGACCCACAACGCTCCCAGAAACATTGTTGAATGTGACTGCTCTGGTGTTATTTCATGAGCAGACGTCATGTTGCAAGGATTAGGTACTGACCTCCAGATTTTTTAACATAAAACCCTGGTATCACTGGTCGGCGTTACTATAACGATACACTCCTTCTTGATAAACGTCTTTTTAAGGCTGCAGTAGGTACTGAACTCATTTTTATGGATTACAACCATGAACCGCAACAAACAGTACAGGGTGGAGGAGCTCTTGGAACAGTAGAATAACCGGCAAATGGTGTGCTCTGCCCACTGCCTCGACGAGACTACACCGAAACGTGTGGGAGGTTCTGGGTAGCCACATTGCACCACGTTACAATCGCACTCATGATCATCCAACAATTGTTAAATGCGTTGACAAAGGAATGGAATGCCTTATCATAGGAACTCATTATCAACCTCGTGGAAAGAATCGGATCGCGTTGCAGAGCATGTATTGCCGTTCATGGGGATCGTGAAGACTTACGTAAAGTCCGTTCTTTAAATAAAAATGTCATATCCATCCGTCTTATTTCGCAATACTGTCGGTCGTTTTCCATGCAACATCGCAATGATTCTCTCACGGTATGGTATTAATTCCGTCGAGCTATGTTATTTGGCCCAGCAATCAAAAGTTGCTATCGCCATTAATATTTGCACGCTAGTGATTTTGTCTTGAAGGCCATGTTAGGGCACGATATAATTTCATTTTCAATCGTCTATTTCTAAGAATATTCGAGGTAAGAGGAACGTAAAGCTTCGTTGCCTCAGATTAATTGAAAAGGATTAAAGGTAAAGACTTCAGGCGTTGATCAGTCCTGTATCGTCTCCTGTAAGACGAGCCCGCGTTTGACTTTCACTCAAATTTGTAATGACTTTTCGAATGCGTACATAGCCTATACAATGATTTGCGGTGGCTACCCGATGTACAAATCAGTGCTTTTATCTTCCTAGACAAGTTTGGTACCAATTGGCTGACCCCGGAGGGATGGAAGGCTTTGTGGGCCTGGGCGGACATCGATCCAGGATTTGAACCCGTGACCATGCGTGTGTGAGGTAGTGCGTCATCATATGGCACTACTCCTCCGTTTTATGTAAATGCCTATACGAATCACACATTTATATATCAACAAATGCATAAACACTTACCTACCTAAAAACCAAATACAACTGATCCTATATCTGTACATACGTACAAATACACATGAGTACATACTCATACGTAACCTGTACCCTCAAGCTTAATGCGGTGCATCGTCATTAGACCAACAGATTGCCTGATATTAGGCACCTACACCCTGTAAAGACCTAAATGCAACTCCACAACAGTCTTGATAATCTTGTTCGCTAAACACTACTATTGATTGGAAAATTTCAAGCAGTAAATTGATCCAATGGTTACACTCTATATTGTGAGAGATCGCATACATTTCTAACTGATTACGCCCATCGGACTTTAAACAAATTTGGAAGGTAACCACGCTTTATAGGACCATGATGATTGTTTGCTCTTGTTATTGTAATCGCGATGGCATTGGAGCTCTACTCCAAATCGCTTTTGTTCTTTGTTCGACCGAGGAGACCGAGGATCTTCTTAAATCGAATTTAGCAGACGTTATTATCCGTTTTGATAGGCCGCCAAGTCACGGCCTATCGCTCATGCCAAAGTCATCGCTTCTGAATTTGCGGAAACTATTCTTTGCTATGTTGTAGGAGACGGCTGAAGTCTCCTCGCAATGTGTGGATGAGCACTGTTGTGGAGAAAGCAGACTTTTAGCTGTTTTTTCCATGGAGTTGTGAGTAAGCGATCCACTAGAGTGAAGTAGGCTTCGTCGATGTCAGTGGACCTTGGTGCCAGCAACTCCTGGTGATCGATCCTCTTGAATGCCTCCGAACTTTGAGCATTGCTTTCTTAAGTTAGAGTTCTGGTTTGGAGTTAAAAATTCCATGCTCTACGCATCCTACCCACTTGGCTTCTTCGTGTGTTTACATAGCGAACTCACATCTCGTCGTCGGTAATCAAGCCTACAACAATGCGAAAGTCGAAGGAAAGTTAACGGGTTTAGAGAAGCATCTCTCCTCATTTGGACCTTGGGATCACTCATCCCATGTTTTTCTAGCCTTATCTCCAAGTCTTTCCTAGGCGGTGCAAAGGGGCAGCCACTGTGTCGTGATGGATGTTGAGCTCATAACTGGAATCCTCTTTAACCAGCTTCAGAAGGTGGATGTCATTCAGCGCAGCTGGATTTACAGATCCTGATTTTTCGGTCTGGTCAAAGTGGCCATTTTCGAAAGTGTAGCACTAATTTCTTGTTGCGCTGTAGGATAGAATAAAGTGTCTCACTGGATCACATATGTTCCTTGTCGCTTGTTTTCGATTGAAGCTTTTTCTGGGTCTATTAGGCATATGCACACTAACTTGCCTTCAGTCGATTTTTCAGCCATTACCGTTACGAAATGCTACGACAGATATGGTGTGAAGAGTGCATTGACCTGCACTTACACATGCTCGGCAATGTACGTCCTAAAGGAATCTCCAAAGATTTCAAAACATGGGAATGTGTAAATGTGTGAAACTACACTTCAGCCAGTGTATAACATTTCGGACAACCTAATATTTACAGCATATTTGACAAAGAAAAATCTCAGAGAGAAGCTTCGCCTGTGAAAGCCATAATAGTATTGCCTGTGACATTTCGGCTACTGATGAATAAAATTATTCCGTGTCATTTGTAGATGTTCTTGTTTAGAAAAACAGGTTCTTATAGGAAATAAGGTTGTAGATTATACAGATTGGAGTAGAACTAGAGATTATATAGTCCAATGAGGGCTTTCACTGTTATAAATTTGCTTTTTGCTGAAGTCT